TTTTTTTTTTTTTTTTTTTTTTTTTTTTTTTTTTTTTTTTTTTTTTTTTCAATAATAGCACACAAGCCTTTTCTCCATCGTGGAGCAAAGTTGGCCCACTTGACAAAAAGTTTAAATACTTGCACATCTCTGAACCAAGTGAATTCAACATGGATGGTGATAAAAATTTTGGAGACAGGTTTTTGCAAAAATTAGTTATCGCTCTGAAGTGTGAAAAATAATATTCTAAAAAAGCGATGTCAAGTAACTTTTTTAGTTTATGGTAGAATATTATATGTGTTTGAGCCGTGTACTTGGTAATACAATATAAAATACTTTTACGTTCCACTAAAAAATTTTTTTTGTATCCAGTCAAGTTGCACGTAAGGCGTCATAAATGTAAATTTAAGCAACTTTTTGCTCCGCTTGGATAAATGTTTGTCCAAACGTGAAATCATTTTAGAAAAATTTGAATTCCAACCATAAGCTATACAATCGTACGAGCGACTTTTCTACGACAACGACTAATCTTATCGCCTCTGGCCAGTGATCTCTCGGACGAATGTAGTAGTAAAAAAAAAAAAAAAAAAAAAAACACGTCCACCAGTTGCTCCTCAGTCGAACCCGTAGCTTCCCAAGATGCTGATCGTTTTATCGCTCGGCGCCCTATTTTTCGGCCTCGTCCAAGCCAACGACGGGTCACCGCGTGTCAAAACACCACTAGGCGACGTACGAGGGTTCTTCAAAACATCCGAGCGCGGCCGGGTCTACGAGGCCTACGAGGGCATTCCTTACGCCCAGCCACCGATTGCGAGCCACAGATTCGAGGTATGTATACCCAAGAAACACAATCCAATGGGTATTTTGAAAAAAAAAAAAAAAAAAAAAAAAAAATGGTAACTCCTGATGTCGCTCGCAGCCCCCAAAACCCATATCAGCATGGCTCGGCGAACTTGGGGCGACCAAAAAGTCCCACGATTGCTTGCAGTACGACCACGACCCGGACTTTGTGACGAGCGAGCACGTGAAGGGCTCCGAGGACTGCCTCTACCTGAACATTTATGCCCCTCTGCGCCAGAAAGGCGAAACCGCCGAGCTGCGACCCGTGCTCTTTTGGATCCACGGCGGGGCCTTCATGCACGGCTCGGGGAACCTCTTCGGCGCCAAGTACCTGGCGGACAGCGGCGTCGTCCTCGTGACCGTTAACTACCGGTTGGGACCGTTGGGTGAGTATAGAGGCGAGGTTCCCCCGTTGAAAAGCCGAGCTGTTGACGAACTTTGGGTTTTCAGGTTTCCTGAGTACCGAGGACAAAGTGGTGCCGGGTAACATGGGCCTGAAAGACCAGAGCCTGGCGCTCCGGTGGGTGCATGACAACATTGAATGGTTCGGGGGTGATCCCGAGCGAATAACGTTGGTCGGTTTGAGCGCGGGTGGGGTGAGCGTCCATTACCACTACCTGTCTGCCCTGAGCAGGGGCCTTTTCCGGAACGGGCTCTCCATCAGTGGTACTGTTCTGGACTGTTGGGCCCAGATGGAGAACGCGGCGGAAAAGGCCCGGAAACTGGGGGCTTTGATGGGCTGCCCAACTGTAAATAACAAGGAAATGATCGAGTGCTTGAAGAGCCGATCGGCGAGGACTATTGTTCAATCGGTGAAAAGTTTCATGGTGGGTGCTACCTCCGACCGTGGGGTAAACCATTTTTTTTTTTTTTTTTTTTTTTTCTGGCACAGGGACAAAAAATTTGGTAGAATCAAGAGTACACATTTACTACAATGGTTGTTCCCAGGAAACGAGATCTCTACTTTGACACAATTTTTGGATAAATGTTTTGCAAGCCAAGACAACTCGAGACTTTAAGAAACATATCGTGTTCTTGAAACGTAGTTAAATTAAATAAATTATTATTTTATTTTTGGTATTGATCTCGCCCAAGTAATGTTGAAGTTTCTCTTGGCATACTGTCAATGAATTTTTATTTTATTTTTTTTATATAATTTTATAAAAAAAAAAATCACAATCAATGTCAAACTTTAGCCCTGGCTGTACAATCCGTTCACTCCGTTTGGTCCAGTCGTGGAGAAAGGAGGCGACAAGCCGTTCATCAGCCGCCCACCGATTGAAATACTCGAAAGTGGCGATTTTTTGGACGCCCCGTGGATAACGAGCGTCACCAGCGACGAGGGACTCTATCCAGTGGCAGGCAAAGTCCATACTGAAAAAATTATTATTTCTAAGATGTAAAATGTGTCCCCAATGATTTTTTCTCAACAGTTTATTTTTATTATTAGAATTTGCCACCAATGACCGACTTCTGAAGGAGTTGGATGCCAATTGGACGTCCATAGCACCTCACTTATTGGATTTCAATTATACGGTACCACTGAGGTTGCATGAGGAGGTGGCTATGAAAATTCGGGGACATTATTTGGGCAGCAAGCCCATCAACCGCGAGAACGCGAGATCAGTGACGAAGATGGTTGGCGACAGGCTGTTTGTCGTTGACGCGGAAAAAGCCGCCAGGATGCAAGCCAAGGCCAACAAAAGTCCCGTGTGGTTCTACTACTACAGTTACAGAGCAGCCCAAAGTTTGAGCAATGCCCTCAGTGGAACTGAACAAGACTTGGGTTCGTTGTTATATTTCAAATCACTAGTATTTTCATGCGAGTTGTTTCTCTCTGAAAAAATATTTTTTGCTGTGTAAATAATAATGTCTGTATACGCTATAAAATGAACAATTTGAATGGTTTTCAAATATTCATTAGTTTTTAAAATATTTTTCAGGTGTATGTCACGCTGATGATGCATACCTGGTGATTGAAAACCACCGCGTAGTGCCGACGACGACGGAAAGTGATCGCGCAATGCAGGCAGACTTGACCCGATTGTGGGTCTCATTTGCTGAAAATGGGTAAATATTATTTAATATATTTGTACAGTACCATTGATTGATAAATTTTTACCACATTCTACATTTTT